TTTGAAATTATCTCTCTTGTGAGAAAATTTCTGTGCAGAAGAATGACAGGGCCTAGAGATGCCTGATATCCCTGTGTAATTTTAGAGGGTATGTGTAGATAAATAGTCTAGGATAGAGACTTTTCATTTGTCTTCTGTGCTTAAGGAGTTAGAGAACGTTTGTCTCTTGTACAGTCAGACTGGAGACAAAGGCCAGCTCAGCAAGGCTTGTCTTCTGTGCTTAAGGAGTCTGAGAACATCTCAGACTGGAGACAAAGGCCAGCTCAGCAAGGAGACCAGGGTATAGATATTCTGATAAGGAAAGGCGTCTCCCTGGGAGGATGCCCAAATCAGAACACTTTTGGCATTGGTGATAGACACCAAGCTGACAAAAGGGGGATCCATCTGTGTGGTGGGGTTTGCATACTTCTGAGGGGAAAGTGAGTATTTTTTTTCTTCTCAAAGGCCAGCATATGGTCTACCTGCTACTGCAAGAGTACCCATATTGCCCCTGCATCAGTCATTGCCTTTGATTAGAAACATTTTGTCTTGCTTTGATTATCTTGGCTTAAAGCAACCTTCTTACTGGTTCTGTCTTGGCTCTGCAGTGAGGACATAGTTCCCACTCACATCCACTGAGAACAGGGTGTGAACAGGCCCTTGTAGCATTCACGTCTTCCACTCTATGTGATACACTTAGGAGAGCCAAGGAGGTCCTTCATTAACGAGAAGTGCAATGAAATAGTCTAAATGAATAAGTTTGAATAATCTAAGCTGGTAGTTGAGCTTCAGTTGATTTTCCTGGTGTAAAATGGAGACCTTTTGCTATTAACCACAGAAAAATATCTCAGTTCCAATGAGGCATTTGCATGGAGCTGTTAGAAATGAGTGTGCATGGCCAGCTCCTTGCTGGTCTGACTGGAAGAAGAATACACAGTTTTACCTGAACTGAAGAACTGGTTCTTATAAAAACAAACTAAATGAGTTAATTCTGATAGAAAAATGCAGCTCTTTGGAGCCTCCTGAAATGAAGAGTTTAAAATTTTGCCCATACATATGTATGTGTGTGGATTCATAAAGTGATTAAAATGGCCTTCTGGGATATTATATCACATCATATACACATATACACTTATCATTATACACATCAGGCAAGTGTGTTTATTAATGCTCCCTGCCAGTGTTTGCAGCCCCAAGAACCCTGCCAGGGACAAAGCCACCACAGCAGCAGAGGTTGTGCATGTGCAACTAAGATTGGGACATGTTGCTTCGTTGAAGTCTTCCATTCTCAAACAGAACATGTGTCTCAAACCACCGAAAGTGTTGAAGGTAAGTAGCATTTCTGTCCTGGGCACCTAAAACTGTGCCTAAAACTTTTTTGATAACTGGAGCGTGAATGGGACCAAAAGAAGGTGTTGCCTTTCTGTGTAAAACTTGTACTGAATGATGTAAGAGTGGAGGATTTGTCTTAAACTATGGGCATTTGTCTAGCCACACGGCATGAGCAGTGCTCAGGAGCTTAGTGCCGTTTATGCAGAACAGAGTAAGTCCTGATGGGCCTTTTGATACGTCCAGTTTTGACACCTTTCTTGAATGACATCTAGCATCAATGAATGACATCACCTTTGCAGCAGCCCTGGGCAGCAAGGCAGCCCAATTTTCCCGTTCCATAGATAACAAGACAGGTACAGAGAGAGCAAATTACTTGCCCAGAATTGCATGGAAATCCTGGAAAGAAGCAAGGAATTGATCAGCAGTCTCCTGTGGACAGTTAGCATTCTTCCTGCTGCACAAACATTCCTCTATCAAGAGTTTTAACTGACTGAGGCAATTCTCTGAGCAACTGTGTGTTTCAGGACATGTTGTATCCACCCTTTCCCACTCCCACTAAATAAATCTTTCAGACAGTACCTCTCTGTTCTGCTTGATTAACCTATTTTTATCCCAACCAAAGAAGTTGTTTCTAGGAAGTCTTCTGCCATATTGGAATATTTTAGTGTGGTGATATGCTCCTTTTCAATCCTTGCTGGAGAAAGTATTCCTGAATTTGTGGAAAAACCATGTCTACTCATAACACCCAAGGGTGAGTAGCAATTCCTGGTGAAATAGTTCTTTACCTAGTACACTGCCCCAACCTTTGTGGAGCTTTTGCTTATTGTTTTCTTTATGTTTTGTTTTTTTTCTTTCCAGTCTGAATGCCGCTTCTGAGTTGATACAGATAACTACAAGTGTGTAATGTCCTGACACCACCTGCATGGTATCCTTGGTCATGACTGAAGGTAAGCTTTAGAGGTCTGGCGTGACTAGTGACTAGACTAACAACTAAGCTTGGATTAATTTTGAAGTTAGACAAAATGGAGAATCTTTACAGGGCAGATTTGCTGCAAGTAGAGTGGGGTGAAGCAGGATAAGAGAAGCTACCCCATGCTGACTCTAAACTGAGCACTGTGTCTCTTGCCCTCTGGGTCCACTGCACAAAAAGAACGGGTTTCCAAAGGTGCAAGCATTGTGCTTATTATGGGGAAGAGCCTTTGCGTTCCCTGTATTGCCTGAGAAAAACTATGTGAATCATAAGGGTATGAAATCTATGCTGTGCATTCCCAACACGAATGAGAAAGACCTAGGCACCTACAATCCTCTTGTGGCGGACAAGAAACTCTGTTCTGCTGAGATTGATAGGTAGTCTTTGTTCTCAGATACATGAGGTTCTGTGTACAATGTCAACACCTGCAGACAAACATTTGAGGGTCAAAATTGGTGGGCCAAACTGTGACCTTTCTTTTCTCATATATCTCTGCAACGTTCATGATTCACTGTTTTTTTTAGGCTCAAACAGAAATTTAACATTGTACAAGTCATAAACCAACCCACGATTACCAGGGTGCCCAAGTGAAAACACCTTTCATGTGATAGCAGATTTCAGTTTGAAGCATAGTTATTACACATAATAAGCCAACTTCTCCACTGACGTCAGTGTGGCAGGGGTGTGAGTCACTGCTGAATCTGGACCAGTTTTAGTGGAAAAGATGGAAATTATAAAATGCACCTTGGCACTGTCCTTTTAGTGGAAGTGACCTTTCCTCAAACAGTGTTGCAGGAATTGGAAGTGAGTGGATGGACCTGGGCATAATAAGAGCTATCTTTTTTCATCTGCATATGCTCCCTATGACCAGCCAAATGTGTACCTGCTGTTTGAAAGAAAACCAATCACATTATATACAGCAAACTTGCCTTAAATCAATGCTAAACAAAAGTGATGCTGCCCACCTCCTTACCTTTTATTGCTGTAGGACCATCTATTAAGATAAGCTTTGCTGTAAATACCATTTTTAAGAATAATACATAGCCTTTAAATAAAGTGCCTAGCAGGGATTGGGCATAGGCTATTCAGAAGAGTGGTAGATCACCTTACTTAAGCCAAATAGTGATCCTTAGCCAGGCACTACAGTGCTCTTGACAGATAATGCAGGAAGATATCAGTATTCCTTCAGCTTGCCAAATGGTTCCAGGTATGCTTGCAGATGTCATCTGCAGTTGCCTGAAGCCACTTACTTTATAATGGCCTACAGTAAAGGAGAGAAAGAAAAAAAGCCGAGCTAAGACAGAAGAACTGAACAGAAAAGCAGCATAACCGTTAGTATTCAGTTTTATATCATTATGTGTAACTTTTATTGAACATCTAGTTAGCTTTATTTCCACGTAAGTTGAAGGAATTAATTGATCCTTCTGCTACCACTCAAGAAAGAAATCAAAAATATTTCACTGAAGTCTTGCTATTGGGTGTAGGAAATCTGAGATCAGGAACCAAGCATAACGATGAATATTTGTCTTTTTTGTATTTTAACAGGTGAGTTCCTAACACTCCTGACAGAACTGAAACCACTGAAAGTGACTGAAAGACAGATAGTGGTGTTTGAAATCCACCTGCCAAAGAAAGTGTAAAACTTTACCTACAAGTTCAATGGAAAGAGTTGAAGTGGGATGATAAGTGTGAAATCATCACATCTGATGATGGCTTGGCCCACACTGTGACAATTAAGGGTGTTCAGTGCAGTGACTTCAAAGAACTTGATGTTGAGACTGGAGGTCTAGTGCAGAACACTCGACTCTTCATTGATCCTAAGTATTGCAAGGTAAACATTTTTGGGCAGTAGGTTGATCAAACACGAAAGAGCAGGGTTTGAGCTACAAAATCCGTAAACCTAAAACACAAAGCCCCAGAGCTTGGGCTGAGAAAACTGGAAGCCACAGTCTCATAAAGCCAGTCTGTGTACAGGCAAGCAGAGGAGCATCAAGACCACATTTTCACACTGGAAGTCCCAAGCCTGGAATCTCTCCTGCACAGGACCCCGTGTTATATCCTGCAATGGCAAAGCCACCTGTTTTGATTTGTAAGGTGCTTGCTGGTATGTGCCATTTTTTCTTGCCAACTTCTTCCTCTTTTCCAGGGGTTCCAATTCAGTTTGTCAGCAGTCTCAAGAACACTCAAGTGAAAAATAAAGGAAGAGCCTGGCTGGAGTGGGTGCTGACTTCTGAAAATGTCAACCTCAAGGGGATGAAGAACAGACAAGTGATTGAGACGTCTCCTAAGTACACTATGAAGCATGAAGGGAAGAGAGCAAGTTTACCATTAATGCTGCTGAGCTGAGTGACTGAAGAGTTTGCACAGTGATCACTACACAAGACAGTGACCCTAGTGAGCAGTACAGCAGTGCCAATGTAAATGTGGAAGGTAAGCATGAATGGCTCAAGAGAGGAAGAGGATGAGGAACAGTAGTCTTGTCACTGTTCTTTAGTGAACTCTGCAGAGAAGCAGTGCTGCTTTGCTACAACAGCTAGGAATCTGATGTGAAATAACACTGTTCTGCAGTCTATTTATTGTTTAACATGGAATAAGCCATTAGTCTGTGCCCCCTTTTGGTAGCATGAAGATAATAATTAAGGACTTTGCTGTATAAAGCAATAGAAGCAAAAAGCAGGAAATCTTCCATTTAGGTCCTTGCATGTGTCACCTAAACCAGCCTAGTAAAGTGTGCCTTCATTTGGTTTCTAATCAGGGTTGTCCTAATGAACTGTTACACTGATTCTTTAAAGCAACCTGTTAGACATTTGTCTGCAATCTGCTGAGGACCAGCAGCACAATATGGGGCTGTTAAATATTTAGTATCACATTTGTTTTGTGAATTCATTTTGCAGTAGCATTGTTGATGGTGTAAACTTAGTCTATGATCTTTATAGAAAGACATAAGGCTCTTAAGAGTAAGGAAAAAAGTTTGGAAAGCTTAGCTTCATGCTCTGAGCATAGACTGGAGAAGAGTTAGGGTGTGGATTTTAGTGTCTATTAGTATTTGAGATTACTTCTGTTAGACGTGGACCAGCTTTGAACTATGCCCAGGTACCTTCCATGAGAAGTGCTGAATTTTGAAGCCATTTTAAAATGAACTGCATGGAAAGAGGATAAAAATATATTAACGTATACTTCACAGGTTCAGGAACAACTAAATACTTGATTGGTAGGATGCTGTGAAGGAAACTTCAGGGGCCTGAAGCTCAGCTGTGAGGCCAGGCAGATTTTCTGTCATGGAAAATTGATCTGCCCTAGTGCCTATCCCTTACAAATGTCTCTGTGAAGCTGGTCTCTTCCTAATAGTCCTGTGTCCAACGATGTCCTGCAAACCCTGCCCTCTTGTATGGACTTGGAGGTCACTCTATTAGTTGCATTTTGGTCATGTATTTCCCAAAACAGGCCAGAAGGGAACGGTTTCCCAGTGGCATCCCTAGCCCTGGGCTTTCCAAATGTGCGCAGCCTGGCCTGGAGTCTGTGGCCAGGGCTGAATGTGGCTGGTGGTGGGCAAGGAAGCCCGGGCTCCTGGAGGATGGGTACTAGGTCTGGTATGTGAGTGCCCCCTGTGGGCCATGGCCAGGGTGGCCTGAAGGGACAGTGTGGAGCAAGGGCCATCTCTGACCACTCCTCTGGGACAGAAACCACTTCTATGGCACAGGTAGTCTGGAAAGCTGTGGCTGAGCTGCCTCTGACGTCTGTGCACGCTGGAATTGCGGTCTGGTGCCATAGTTAGAGATTCATCTTTCCCCCTGCAGAGTTCAGGTTCAGATACAGATACGATGTAGACATTAGAAGAAGTGTTCGGCTGGTTTGACAGTTCCTCTGGACCAGCTAAGGGTCTGGAGCAGTGCTAAGAGACTGTTTTCTGCTTCAGCTTTTGGGTTTCCTTTAGCTGTGTTAGCTCCAGTGAACACACATAAAGAAGGGCAAAAGCTACTTAGGAACAGCCTTTCCCCATCCCCCTTTCTTCCCAGGATGTCCAATTCACTAAACCACTTCCATCCTGAGGGCCTGTCCATTTTGTTAGAGGATCTCCCTGCCATTAAATACCTCCTCTGGTGTTTGTTGTGTTCGGCTGACAATCATTCTGCACAGTTTTTATGTTCACATATTTCCATTGACATTTCTTCCAGAGACATTTGCAACCATAAAGAGTATGTGTGTGAAGTTTCTGCTCTAACAGGGGATCCTGACGAGCTCTGTGTTGTCCTGATGATGCGAAGGTGGAAGGAATATAGCTCAAGGGTGGAAAACAGGTAAAATACCCATGGCATTGTCAGTATAATGAAAGGCTGCACAACCCCAGTGGGAAGCTTTCTCCAGATAGCTACCGTGGGACTTTGCCTGGTGCTAATAAGGGACTTGTGACTGAGGACAAACAGATCAGACAAGAACAGAACTAATATTTCCTAGGCTACTGCAGCCCCAGTCTTATGAATTTTGGCTTTGGATCTTGACTTTTTCAAAATCTTCCTTCCCAGTCTCCTGTAAAGATGCTTTCACATTTCCTAACCCATTTTCAGAGCCTGTGGACTCAACATTCTTTCCCACAGGGTTGGCTTCTCAGCACCCACCCTTCTCTTTCTCCCAGACTCTCATTTTCAGAGTAATCAGTAAATGTATCCTTTGCATGCTAATGCACACCCTTTGTTGCATGCCATGTGGCTTATCTAGGCAGATGTGCAGATAACTCTGTTCGTGTAACATTAAATTTGTTTTGTCCGTAGGTCACAGACCATTTAACCAGAGTAGGAGCTAGGAATCCTGACAACTTTGTCATCTCAGAGCAGAAAACTGATCAGAAAATTCAGGGACAGGGTTGGTGATTGTTTGTTGCAGTGTGTGTGGTTTCCTGCCTCAGTCTTCTTCATATCAGATAATGGACAGGAAGAGGCTCTGGAGAGTGAAGCAGGGAGCCATCCACAAACTCATCATTGACGGAATGGGAGAGGAGCACGAAGGGAGGTGACCGTTCAGAGCCGAGGGGCAGAGTGGAGCAACAGTTGCCATTGGAGGCTGCCACCCCATCTCCTTACTGCTCTTTACCAGGCGTACACAAACACTTGTAGAATCAGTGCTTCACCAGGTCTCCTTACCTGGGCCTGTACCATTTTACAGGCTTATCTAGGTGCATGAGCTAAACCTCTTCTTCCTGCATCTTTGTTCCCCGAAGGGACAAAATTGAACAGTCGTACTGGTTGATTCTAAGTGACTAAGCATAGATTTCTGTGTTTATAAATCAGTGATGAAGAATGTTTGTCTGAGCCTTTACTTCAAACATTGTTGTCATGAGCAACAAGAAAAACACCTTTTCTGAAATTATCTATATAGCACCATGTAAATATGTGTATTGCTCAGCTCTTGGCAGGCAGATGGCGCCAGATGGCCTCGCAGCCTGCGCTGCAGCATGGCCGGGAGCCTTTCTGGGAGCCACCGCTGCACAGGCAGCGGGACAAACGCAGCAGTGAGGATGCTGTGGCTGCAGCACTGAATATTTATCATACCTGTGTTGCAGTAAAAACCCATCCACAGCAAAGCTCTGGTATAAGGAGGGTTGATTTTCCCGCATTCAAAAGCATTTTGAATGCCTTTTGATGACTTTCAGCAGAAGATTGTAATTTGTAAACACAGACGTTGTATGACAAAAATAAAAAGAAAAACACCAACTATGTTTAGCAAACTGGTTGTTTTTCTTTATGGTGTGCAGAACATCTTTATCATTTTCTGATATTACTCTGTAACAAATGGAGTGTTTTGTTTACAAGCAGTACCTAACTTTGATTCCGCTATCTTTATTATAATCATAAATATCCCAGTGTGGCCTTAGGGAAGAACAGCACAAAGAGTGGCTTCTTGTGCCTTGCAAAACTTAGAAACTGCCTGGAATCAAATCTCCAGGCCCTTGGGAAGCGAGGAGCTTTGGGGCTTCCTGTTTCCCAGAGGTCCCTCTTTTTCTGCTGAGCTGGACAACTAAAGGAGGTCAGCCAGCTCCCTGTACAAGAAACTGAACTAAATTAGCTGAATCAAAACACACTGAAAATTTTGACTGTCCCTGTAGACTTTCACAAAACACAGGATTTTTATATTAAAAACATGAAGGAGTGTATGAAAAGCCCAGCTTTGGGCCACCTTTTCTGGGAACTCGCAGAAAAAGGAAAAATGTCAAACCGTATCTGCAGCTGCAGCTTTCCTATATCTTCTGTTGTTTCCAGATTCTCTTGTAATTGAAGAATCTGTCCTCGAGCTTTTTGCTGCACACAGCATTACTGTGAAGACTAAGCATACAGCAAGCTTCAAGGTGCCTTTCAAGGCAAAGCCAATGCCCAAAGTCACATGGTTCAAAGATTATATTGGGGTGACAGAGGAAGAGAAAGTGGTGACAGAGAAAGCCAGTGACTTCGTTAGTCATAATAAAACATGTGTGAGAGAAGACAGTGGAGCCATTATGCTGAATCTGAAAAATGACTGTGTCTCGGCTTCTGACAATATTTACCTCAACATTGTTAGTAGGTCCTAAATTAGTCATTTTATATCCGGATAATCACTGGTAGATTTCTTGGTTTACATGCACTGTAATTCAGACTTTCTTTTTTAAAATCTTGCAGTGGGGCAGACTCCAAGTTATCAAATCAAGTGCTTCAAGTCAGGTTAGTTTTGCTGTAATCTGTACTGATTTACACCATGACAGGCTATGACTCTCTTTATAATAGCTCTCTACATCAGCTGCTCGCACTGCAAACAAACTAAAACACCACAGAGGAAAGCAGAGTTCCTGCAACACATAGAGAAGATGTAAAATGAGATGGAAAGCACCCAAGGCAGTAGAGGAAAGCAGGTGACTCACTTCATCAAGAGGAGGATGGCTGGAGAAAAAATTGTGGATCAAAGTAGGGGTGGCGAAAAGCAACTACACTGCATTTACTACAGAGAAGGTGGAGGAAGAGAAGCTATTTCAGAATACATGCTGTCAACTCTGAAGGCCTCATTAAGCCTCTGAAAACAGAAGAAATTTTTGCTGGAGAACCTATTAGCCAGCTGTTTTTAATGTGGTTTCACAGTCCCGCTTCCCATCGTTTTTGTCCTCTTCTTCCTTGCCAGTCTCCAGAAGAACAGTGTCACCTGTGCTTCAGGGGACACACTCCAGGGACAGAGCTTAGAAGCTGCTTCGTGCTTAGGCTGATAGCCAGGATCAAACAAATACCCAGGTCCTTTCACTGCAACTGTCTGTAGACTCAGAAACCCCTCGCCATGGACTGGCCGCAAGAGAGGACTGGCTGACACACTGTTCTAGTGTCAGTTACCTAAGCTTAGGGGGATACGGCAGAAATGAAAAGTGGCTTTTTCTGGAAAATACTGTGGGGGAAGAAGGAAGATAATTTAAAAGGCAATGCTTAAAAACATTTTGTTTTGCAGCCAAAAAAACCTGAAAATATGGCAGCCAAAAACTAACTTGGTTAGAAAACACTACTGAGCTGTCTTTTGGGAGTTGTAGTTCAGGTACCTCTTGTTCTCTTTTTTCCTTTACAGGCTGGGATCCCCAGTGAAAGGGGATTTGCCGTCCCCTTTTCCCAAGACCGGTGTATCACAGAAGATACAGTGCAAATGGCAAGTCTGGCCTATTGAAACATTTCAGAAATAAAATTACCAAGTTGAAGTAAGTTTCAGTTCTCACCTAAAATTTTTAATTTTTGTCCGAACTTTCTATGAATTAGGGAAGGCATTTCTGAGTCACTTTGTAATGCACCGCAGAATAAAGTGTGAGAATGGAAATGTTTCAAGACTTGAAATGACAAAGGGAAGTATATGGCAAAGAAAGAGTCTTTGGAAAAAGGTTGTGGCCTTGAATAAACCTTAAGATGCAAGTTACCCTCCTTAACTTCTTACTGTACATATATGTGTATATATTTATACACACACGTATAACACATGCACACAATTTGAAGTCAATGAATTCTGATTATACTGTGCTAATTTGATTTTCTTCTCTGTAGAGCCTCTGAGACAGGTGCCTCAGCCTCAAGTTGTAGACGTCAGGAAAGATGTCACCATCACCTAGAACTTTTCTCCTCTGCCTCTACTCTGCCCTGGTGAGACCGCATCTGCAATATTGTGTTCAGTTCTGGTCCCTCAGTTCAAGAAGGACAGGAATTGCTTGAAAGAGTCCAGTGCAGAGCCACAAAGATGATGGAGGGAGTGGAGCATCTCCCTTATGAGGAGCAGCTGAGGGAGCTGGGTCTCTTTAGCTTGGAGCAGAGGAGACTGAGGGGTGACCTCATTCATATTTATAAATTTGTAAAGGGCGAGTGTCAGGAGGAAGGAGCCAGGCTCTGCTCTGTGATGTCCAATGACAGGACAAGGGGCAAAGGGAGCAAGCTGGAGCATAGGAGGTTCAATCTGAACATGAGGAAAAACTTTTTCACTGTGAGGGTGCCAGAGCACTGAACAGGCTGCCCAGAGAGGTTGTGGAGTCTCCTTCTCTGCAGACATTCAAAACCCGCCTGGATGTGTTCCTGTGTGACCTGGTCTGGTGATCCTGCTCTGGCAGGGGGGTTGGACTGGATGAGCTTTCGAGGTCCCTTCCAACTCCTGATATTCTGTGATTCTGTGAGAACTTCCCAGCCCAGGATGGAGGCTCTCCAGTGCAAGGTTACATCACAGCAAAAGGGAAGCAAGGCAGCAATCTTTGTGTTTCAATCACCAAGGAGCCAGTCCAAGGTCAAACCAAGATTAATATCTGTTTTATGTAGGCAGAATGAAAGTTAGATAAGCTTTGAATGCAAAGCTGAGTATTGATTAATCAAGGAAAATGTCATCATGGCATCTAACAAGATACACATTTTGACATATGCTGTTCAAGTGAGATTTTCAGCCCTCAAATAGAAATGGCTTGATATCCACAAGCAATGATGAGAGGGCAGAATTCTCAGCACATCTGAAAGGCACACCTATGGATCTGGGTGCCTATTTTCAAGCATCTATATTCTACATTTCTGCTACCTAGATCTGAGTGCTTTTCCCTGACTTAGACCAAAACTGAATTGAGCAAGTGACTGATTTTGTTGTATCCATCAATTAGCAACCATATGATCTATGCTTAGCACAGCTTGTATAACACATGGGAGTGTTCCTATCAGCAGCAGCATCTGACTAACGGGACTTTTGCTTTTCCTTTTCTGTTAATATTTTGGTTCTTTCTTGGATTCTTTCCTCTGTCTCATTCAAAATGTTGGACTTTCGTATTAACTTACAATCAATCACACTATCAAAAAATTTCCTCCTTAAAGCATCAATATTACTCAGAGTAAATAATGGAAACATTTTTTAAGGCAAATTATTCAATTACTGAGGTGTTTTTTTTTCAAAAATGAATGGAGGTTTAGCCTTGCTTAGAGGCTAGATTGTGAAAGGCTTGGCCACTCTATTGAGTTAATTACATCATGGGAAATCCCACTGAAGTCAATGGAGCAAGACATGAAGATATTTTTGCACAGCATGTGTGATTATACCAGGCTACAGACCATAATCTAGAGGAAAGCAAAGTATGTATTTTTCCCTCTTACTATATGCATCTAAATTCCATCTCCTTAGGGGCAGGGATATGAAAATGGATCAGACCACTGGAGAAGTGAAGGTTAGACCTAGTTAAGGGGCTTCCTGAACCCCTGAAATTTATATTGTTCTGCAGCAGTCTGTGTGCTGAAATGTCTTCTTGGTTTTTCCTCAATCTAAAAGCAGTTTAAAAAAAATGTAACCACTTGGGAACACTTTTATGGGTCATTAGAGAGTTGTGTAATTGCAAAATGTGTGTCTCTAGGTACCACATTCAAAGTGGATGGTTTTCTGGAGGATATAGAAAAAGTTCCATGTGATAGGTGTAAACTGGGCAGGCCCTGGACTTCTAAGCATACCCTCAACCTTTCACTGCAAAGGATCCCATCAGTATGTTTCTTTCACTGTTTAATGTCTGGTTTTCCTAAACATGTATGTGATTATCAGATCTATGCATTTATGACTGGAGCCTGAGGGAATGTAGCAAATTGCAGCCTGGCTCAATGTTTACAGCTTAACTAAAGATTAAGGCAGGCCTTCATACTGTTGGCTATAAAAATAATTATATCATAAGTGCCTGAAAGTATGATATTATTCATTTAAAATGCGTAACTATTAAGATAAGGACACAGCAAGAGATTCCCACCTGAGGGGAATTGAGTATATGGAAACAACAGAGATCAGCGTGATAAAGGTGCTCTGAGGTGTAGATATTTTTTATGCTTAATGTTCATGTATGGGTTGCCAAAGACCCCAAAGTATTACAAAGAAAGTAATTTATCATACATGGTGCTATGCTCCTTTCATCAGTCCTCCATCCACCCTTTTAAAAGAAGATAAAACGCTTGTGGAATTCATGAAAGTTGCTTACATTCTTTTATTTTAAGACTGGATTTTTAGCAGTAAAGAATCTGTGCCTAATTCTGGACTGATCATAATCAGACAAATTCCAGGGATTACAGTAGCCTCAGAAAGGCTGAAATGGGTAGATTTTATTTTGTGCCAGTTACAGAGAATTCTTACTCTATATGACCATATAACTAAAGCATTTTAAAAACAAAAGGCTGTCAGAAGCCATCAGTAAGTTAAACTATTGACGGAATCTTGTAATAGGCATAGGAGCCAACCTCAGTAGCTGCACATAATTTAGGAAAAAAATACCCTGGCCAAGTGTGTAAGCCAGTATAGCTAAAAAATGAGAGAATACTCTGTAGTAGATGAGAGCCTTGAGGTTAAATTGTTACTCAGATGGGAAAGCATTCAGGTTCCTTTACATCAGATGTCAACACAAAAACAATTTAAAGCCTGAAGCTATGACGCTTCTCCTATTTGAAGACTTGCATTATTTCACATTAGGCCTAGGAGAATATGTGCTGTCCATATGCACTATATTCCTTATGACCCTGTGTGCTCAGTGAGTGTTCTGAATAAAAGCCATTAGCATGGAGCTTGTCATGGCATGCTGCACTGGTTGACTTCTTTGGTCTGGGGCAGTGGGTGGGTTGCTGCATTTCAGCTGAGACTTTCAGAGCAGAACATGGTTTTGGATACACAACTCCCTTTTCATTTGATTAAAACCATATTTTTTATATTCCATATTTTGCTTTTCTTATGTATTATGGAGATCTAACTGGGCTGCTACAAGGTGGACTGAAGAGCAAAAAAAGCAAGATCTGTTTTCAAAAATTACTATTAATTAGAGGTACTGTAATCTTTGGCAAATAAACCTGAAGAACATTAACAGGATCTTGCAAGCCAGTAAGCAAAGTCAGTAATCCAGGCAGAGCAGATAGCACCTGACCACTTTACGCAGGACTGGAAGAGGGATTTATTAAACAAGAAGAGACAGAAGGCACTCAAAGCCATACAAGGCAGGTTTACAGGAAATGTACTGCAGAGCTCACCAGTCAGGAAGAGACAGAAGCAAACCTTTAACACATAAACACCTCTCCCAGACACGTGTGGAGAATGAGTGGTAGTCAGTGGTCATAGAAGGTGCCATTTCCAAGCTGAATTCAGATGGTCACATGTTGTGAGGATTTTTCTTAAGTGGCCAACCTTGGAACAGCACCTACATGTATGTGCCATGTTATGAACTGCATTATTTTGCTGGACAGAATTTGTTCTGCGTTTGTTAAAGCACCTTTTACCCTGAAGCCTTGCAGGTTCAGCATCTTGAAACAGAAACAGCCCTGTATTCACGTATGCAAGCACAGGCCTGCAGGTCCAGTCGTGTGTCACAGCTCTCCTGCTGCCACAGAGCCTCCAGGACTGCTGAAGGTGGTCAGTTTTTCCAACTCCAGCATTTACTTAGCCTGGCAGAAGCCAGACTAGGGAAATGTGCTATCAGGATATATACTAGAGATGTGAGCTGAGGACACCAAGAAATGGACAAAATGCACCAAGATCCTTATCTCAGTACCACTTACACTGTGAGAAGCTTGCAGGAGAGACAAATACTACTTCTGAACCTGAGCTGTGAATGAAGCTGGTATGGGAGAAGCAGTGGAGTTACAGGAAGGAATTCTAGCAGTTCTACACCTTCAGATAAGACCTGCAGTATCTGTCCAGAACATTTAACATCACAGCTCTGCTTCTTTTTTGCTAAGTTTTCAGAAGTGCCGAGAGGAGGTGAAGAACAGCACAAGCTGTGCATCCCTTGAGCCAAATTAAAATCATGCTGCCATCTTTCTTGCTGAGCTGTCCCCTGAATGAGTATGTCGGGTATAATGGCAGTTGTTTCTTCCACCATCTGACCTCTCACATCACATCTCACATGTGATTACTGAGGTCACTGTTGGAAGATTCTCTGATTCCTGCCATCGATACTGTGATCTGAGTATGGGTTAGGAGGGTAGGTACTACAGCAAATAAACTCTCATATTTGAAATGCCCATTTGTTGCAAATACAATGGTACTGAGGCAGGGTTATAGTTCTTTCAGGCACTCAGTTTGCATGGGATGAACAGTTAGGTGCCAGCAGGCTCCTCACTGCGTTATTGATTGCTGAGGCATTCATGTTTCTCTTCTGGAGGCACAGTTATTAGGAGAAGAGCTGGCAACATTCAGCCCTTACACTAACTGTCTTGTGCTGAATCAATTTGAAGGTTTCTTCTTCCAGTCTCAGTCATTCATTTCTTCAGGCATGACTCAACAGACTGAAGAGTGGCTTTACTTTTCTGTGCAGTCTCACACTCTTAATTTTTTTAATTTCTCTGTCTGTTTTTCTTTTGTCTCCCTCATAGATTTGATCTGATTGTGAGGCTGAAGAGCCACATGGTGGTTTATGCTGGGACAGCATCATGCCTTCATACATCTTTCCCTGTGAGATTCTGTATCGTGTCCTGCCAGAGAAGAAATCCTGTGATTAGAGTTTTCCTGGGCATCTGGTGAAATACAGCTGCAGGGCTATGGAGGCTGTAGTTGTCCTTTGGCCTTTATCACACGAGCTGTCACTTTGATTTAAAAGAAGTTGACTATTGGAAAAAACTCATTCAGTGCTTTAGATTCATGAAATCCTGCATAACTGCTCATTATTTTTGTGGCTTGTCTTTTATAAGCCTCCTTGTGGTGGTTAGAGTAGAGGGACTTCTGTGCACGCAAGTTTGTCAGCTGCACAATGCAGCCCTCTGCAGCTGGAGCAACAGTGTTCAGCAAACCATAAAACACTGGGGAAGCTCTCTGATTCATCATGAGAAGCAGAATTTTTTGAGCATGCAACTGCATTTCATGCTAACTGAAGTGAAATCATTCTTGATTAAACCTTGAGTGACCTAGGGGACTGATCAGGGTTATAAAGACAACGCTTGAGGTCCCAGCGTTGTTCTTTCTGAGGTACAATTTCTATTAAAGTGGCTGTTGAGCTCATCTCTGTAGCGGCTAAGGGCAATGTCTGTGCATTCATTTCTTTTAAACCTAGATGACTGCATGAGCTGAAGCTCTGTAGTACTTGCATAATCAGCCCAAGTGTAAGAATGTATTTCTCAGTCTAAATGGTACAAGTTTATTTGTATCACACCAGCTGTTTTCCCTCAGCTTTCAAGATGATCAAACTAATGAACTGTAGCGTAAGGTTTATGTGGCATCTCCCAAGCCAATGCAGCTCTATGCATTTTGCTGGGGACAAAGCCTGCTGTTGCCTTTACAGCTTGAAGAAATCTGTAGGATAGTTATCCTTGAAACATTTTTCTATCAGGCCGATCATATACAGACACAAACTGGAACACAGGAGGTTCCACTTCAATTTGAGAAGAAACTTCTTCTCAGTGAGGGTGCCAGAGCACTGGACCAGGCTGCCCAGAGAGGTTGTGGAGTCTCCTTCTCTGCAGACATTCAAAACCCGCCTGGACGCCTTCCTGTGCAACCTCATCTGGGTGTTCCTGCTCCGGCAGGGGGATTGGGCTGGATGAGCTTTTGAGGTCCCTTCCAATCCCTAACGTTCTGTGATTCTGTGATACAAGAGGTTTCTGTAGACACAGCTATCCCTTTTGTGTTCATGTAGTTCATTTCTCTTGCCACTCAAGTCAGGAAGCAGAACATTATAGCTGCATGTTTGTCTTGCCCAGGGCTCCCCACCACTACCAGTGATGTGGCAAAAAGAAGGTATATCAACAAGAGGGAGGACAAGAACCATTCATGGTCTTTATCCACAGCACCAAGTGATTTGTTTTTGACCTGTACCAGATTATCCTCAAGAACAGTTATGGAGAAGCCCTTTATGACATTCAAATGCAAGTTGCAGGTACGGTATGGAGTAAACTTGAGCATCTCAGTCACCTCTGGGTATCAACAGGAGGTATTCCTCTGCTGACAAAAATTTCTAACAATTTCTGCATCAATACTAGAGTTGGGAAGGTTTGTTTTTTTCTTGAAAAAACCAAAGGATCCCACACATACACACCCTTTATTAAAAAAAAAAAGGTGCCACAGAGGTGATCCAAAATGTTATGTTTTCACTCAAGGGGAGAAAGACTCCTTGGTCAGAAAGGCTTTTCCTACCTCTTGTCACTGTGTTTCCCGAGTCCCACCTTCAAGCTAGCTCAGACCCAGAGCCAGTTAGCTGAGCAGCATCATTCATAGCTGAGGGATAAGAAAGATACTGCTGGGGCTTTGCTGACTCTGTCCAATGCAGAGGAAAACGGTGAAGCAGTTATTGCTCCAGACACCCCCAAATGCAGCCTTGTTTTTCATGCCATTATTTGAATGGGCAAACCTCCATAACAGCGCTAAAACAACAGTGTCTGTCTCCTCAGCAGTCTGGTGACATCTTTTTCATTGCAAGCAGGTCTATGAAAGCCAAGTTGGAGGCAGGTTGGTTTGCTCCGTAGAGAGACTTCTATTACTACAGTGATCTGCTGGGAGTTAGGAACCTTTGCAGCGTATTTTGTACTTGTCATCTCTTCAGAGAGTGCTTTTTAAAACTAACAGCCTTATTTTTTCATCAGAAAGGAGTTACACGCATAGGGCAAATTGGTCCTCAGGTTGCTCATGGTAGAAGAAATCAAGAGGTATTTTCCTAGACACACAGGGACTTTGTAAGGTAGGAGTTGAAGTGAAAAAAATTTGCCCAGAAAAGGGCAGAGGGAGGGTCACAAACAGAAGAAACCAATACTTAAATGTGCTCATGAATTCTTAGATTTTCCCTGACCACCTACTAATCTGCAGCTGGTGGAAGAAGTCCCAGACATTGTCACCCTAAATCAGTTCAGATGTAGAAGATGACCAGCAGACAGACACTATGGTGTCCTGAAATGTGATGTCAGTACCACTACAAGGTTCATGGCCACAGAGAAGGTCTGCAGCAGTAAGTACATCGTCACAGGCCTTCTCCCAGGGAGGAAATACTTCTGAGTCATTGCCTGCAATGACACTGGGGACACTGACCCTCTGGATTCACAGGAGCAGTGGTACATCTCCAAAGACAGAGGTAAGCATAAAAATTCATGACAGTACTGGAGGAAGACGCGTGCTCTTGTACACAAGACTGCAGACTAAGCTCAGGCTCCCTCTGTGGCCTTGGGTGTATCACTAACCTATTCTACCCCTCAGGTCCCCACCTGGAACAGACACAAGAATACCTTCTGTCCTATCCCATCCATTTGATGGCAATCTCTTCAGAACTGAGCTTCCTTTTACTACATACATGTGTAGCACATTTTATAGCAGCTCATACATTTTATAGCAGCATATTTTTAAATTAAAATCCAAGACAGTAGGAGCCATCCATGTGCAGGAAGAGTGATATTATCATGTTTTGACATAACAGAAGATTGGCCTTACAAGTCACTTGTCTTGTAGCATATCTCCAGTCTGAGTGGGATCTGTTTCTTAAATGAAAAGCAAACAAATCTGTCACATGCAGGAGACTGTGTGACAGTCTTTCTGCGTCAAAAGTTATAAAAAGTCCCTAAAAGCATGTTAAGTTAAACACTCAGAGGTCATCCTGTCAGTTAAATGCCTTCTCCTTTGTTCAGTTGCTCCTTGCTCAGGCCTAATCAGTAATAAGAATGTCTCATTAGCAGCACTCCGAAGCCAACCTGAACATGCCCCACCTCACCAAATCAAAATGGTAAGTGATCCTTCTGCCCAGTCTGGGGCAAAGCAGAATGCAGTTACTCTGAATGGCGAGATCCAAGCCAAATTTTTTTGCTTAGCCTATGCCTGTTGTAATAAGCACAATAGTAATATAAAACAAACTATATATTAATATGTATTACCAGACTATGCATTTATTTCTTCAGAAGCCTCTTTGCATACTGCTACACGTCTTCTAATCCCATTAAAAGTAATAGGCAATACATTAAAATAACAGAATAAATAGTACAGTAAAATGAGTAATCAGGTGTTCAACTGAGTATTTGTATTTAACAATCAGCCTTCCTTGATCAATGTAACTAGATCACTGGTATGTTATTTCAAGTACATGTGCAGCTGAGAAAAAGCACTTCCAATTATGTGGCTGTAGCCATATGCCTGTATGGAAGTACTCTAGGCCTGTATTTTACAGAGTCTGAAATAATGTCAGTAACTTCTGTGTATGTAGGCAAGTATAGAAGAGTAGTAAATGGAGGAAAGCTAGGTTGGTTGTGCCTTGCAGTGCATTCCCTTGAACATTCCCTTGGTAATAGCCTGCCTGCCTTCAGACAGGACAGCAGGACAAAAACAGATGTGAACTGATTTCCTATTCTTCATTGCAGATGGCAAGTCACAAGGTTTATTTGCACAAACCTGAGAGGTGGTAGAAAAACTCTGAAGGATAAGGAGGACATAAGCTGTTTTCTGAGAATGCACTCCCATAAGAGAATTTTGCCATACAGTGCTACATTTAGGGTCCAGGGAATTTGCTTGATGGGACCTTATGCCAAGGCAAAAGATAATAAAGACTTCAAGAAATGTGTTTAAATGCAGGCTGAAAATGGAAGATTTGCAGTGGACATTGGAACTTAAATTGCACATGCAGTTACCCTTGATTCCCCCAGAGCATTCTGTAAAGTATTAATGCCTCAGAGCAACACCAGCAGAACAATATCCCTTCCTTTACAGGATCACCTGCTTTGGTTTATAATTGGGTGTAATTTAATCATGCATTTCTAAAGTGCCGTGGGAGCCAAATATCCAAAAGCACTTTGCAATTTAATGGCACTAGTGAGAGAAGGCATCGATATATCCCCATGGAGCAACAACCTGGCACCTTATTTATAGACCAAGAAGTAAAAAAATTAATTGCTTGCTTACAGTTGCATAGCAGATTAATGGGAGAAGGAGATTTCCTATTCCTTCCTCTCTGACCTTTCAGTTTGTATTTGTTCACATGTTGAGATAGGTCAGATGCTGAGAGTAAAGTAGTGTATTGTTCATTCTTTCTCCTCCCATAGTTTTCTCTGGTGGGAAAGAAGGCCCAGGTCATGAAATGTCATACCCAAGCTCTTTGGCTTTGTACTTGTGCAGAAGACTCTCCATCTTGCTGGTGCTGGCTCTATGTTTGCATGGTTTTTGTGCAGTGGTGCAAAGCAGCCCATAGGGATTCTGTCCCCAGCAGAGTGTTTTGACTTCAAGATGGGGTATCCCAGAAAGGGCCATGCTTCCTGTTTCATTGCCCTGCTGAAGAATCAAAGCATGAGTCATGGCAATGACTGCATCATGAGCCGTGCTTTCATCAGCAACCCCCACCCAACAGTGACCCTGTACAAGGGCAACGTAAGCATCACGTCCAACTCTAAGTTGTGGCTCAACTCAAGCAGCAGCATCTGTCTGCTTATGATCCCTATAACTTGCAGCTGCAAGCTGATCAACTGTGGTAAGGCAGATTTGCGGCCACTGTGATTTGTTGGGGGTGATTCCCTCCAGGTTAAGTAACCATAGATTTCTTGTGTCTGAGTATAGTTTACACTGCTGTTTTCCAGAGCAAGTGCACTTACTGGGACTGGCACCGTGTATCACACTTGGCCATTTTGGCTCGCATCCTTGTCCACAGAGGAAGAGACTGCTCATTCTGTAGGTGCTGCAGATGGAGGTGCAAGGGCCACATTGTAAGAACTTACCATCAGATCCAGAAAGCAGCCTAACTCTGACTTTGTTTCCCTCTGAGGTCACTGAGACTTGTCTTCAGTTGCCTGAAGGCAGTATTGGGTCCCTTAAAATACCATATTTTGGCTAGCAGGTCTCACAAATTCCCTAGATGGCTCAAAAACAGATACGGCCATTTCTCAGTCCCTAACCAGGCTTGCCCTGCACCCGTGACATACTTCTCACCCCCAAGCAGTCAACTGATGCATTCTGAAAACAGCTTTGTCCTTTTTTTTGCAGCTACCACAGATACTGCACTGGGTAAATCTGTTCTCATCCTTTGTGAAATGGCAGGATTTTGACAACATTGTATGAAAGCTAGTAAAAATTTCCAAGACACAAAAAGTAAGAAAATCAGACATTTAATATTCCGTTTTCCCTTGTCTGTATTTTTTTCCATGCCGGAAGTTCCCAGTAAAGTTTTAAATCAGGCTGTAACAAACAGCTTGGTTCCAGCTGGCTCAAATTGGTCCTGTGAGACTGTACAGTTCCAAGTGCACGGGCTGAGGTTTTACTAACAGTAACACATGACCCACGTATGGTTTCCTCATGTCACCATGCCCAAACTTGGAGCTTGCAGAGTGGGCTTACAATATGTACAGCAGTGCCTTGAAACTGCTGTGTCCTGTGAGTTTCGTCAGCCCCTGGTAAGCTCACCTTGCTCGCCATTGATTGAAGGTTAAACATTTGAGAGCAAGAATTCTCCATCCTTTTATCATCTTTGACACTGAAGCATATGTCCACCATTCCCCCTTTCTAGAGATAGGCCCTGGTGCCTCAGGACCCGTTGATGTTGTCTTAAATGGAACAAGAGTGAGACGCTGCCAGGCACAGCATGAAATGAAACTGATACAGCACCAATAAGGAGGGACTATATTTGGAAAGGTCTTTTAAGGTTACTTTTGTCTGTGACCATTGCTTCTGGACAGCTTGCTAAACCCCTCCTTCGCCCCCACCAGGGTTTGGTTCTCTCCACTAATGCAGAAGTAGCTCTCTGTGGGTCAGTGGAGGGAAAGTATGTGCATGCTGGGTTTCCTGCTTTGATTTCAAGCAAACTCATCTGTCTGTGTGCGCGTAAGATACATGCAACACTTCTTTCACTGAAGCCAGCTACTGCCTGCCTAAAATACTGAAAGCAGCTCTTTACCATTTTTTTTTAATTCCTGGTGTTACTGGGACTCTCACTTCACACACTTCCTGATACTCTCCTCCCTGAAGCCACAGTTTCAAGCCATAGCTGGAGGACAGTTTCCTAGTCCCTAAAATCAGCAGGAGCTTTTCCTGGCCTGGCATTGCTGCCAGCCAGGCTGACGCAAAAGGAACCGTGGCAGAGCTGCTCACCTAGGTTTTGGGAGGGCAGGCGGGCCTGAGGGGCACAAGGATAGCTCTCTGTCCCCTCAGAAATCTGACTGCTGGGTAGGACTCCCCTTTCCACACAGAGCTTGTTGAGGTAAGGACTGTTACAACATGAACATACCTCTTCAAAGTTATTCAAAGCAGCCTGTTTACAAGCAGAGCTGGCTAAGTAACAGGCCTTGCAACAGCTCTGTGTGGGTGATGTGCTAATTTATATTCACATTCCTTAATGGGAGCCTATTTCTGAGGCTCCTCCTTACCTTGACCTGGGCAGTCCCTTAGGAGGGTTTCTGCTGCTGCTAGGGCCGTTTGCAGCTGAGTGAGGTGGGAAAGCAGGAGTCAGAATAAGAGATTGTAAAACTGACTTTTCGAGATAAGAAATTTACTTCAAATTGAGCTTAACTGCAGTTTTATTTTAAAACTCAGGAACTATATTCTTGCTGATTTATTTTTTTTCTGCAAGAGGACTAGTTACTACCTGGAGTCAGGTGCTGGAGGACATTGTACCTCATATGAAAGCACTCTTTGTTACGCTAGGAGATCCTTCACATCAGGTCTTGGAAAACTTTCTTTAGGACTTTTTTCAGAGACTTTCAACAGCCTTACCTGGTGACATGCTCTCCTAAGGGAAAGAAGTAAGGAATGATCCAAGAGATGAGCAAATCTGATTTGAACAGCTGTGCAGGAGTCTCAGTTGCTGATTTCTTTGCTGATTCCATGGGAGCTAAACCTCTATTTCTCAAATATTTGTCTCTACTCCTCTTAATGTGTGCTCTTCTGTTTCTCTCCTTTAAGGAACGACACTTGCATTCCTCTTCTAAGCCATGTTTTCAGTCTCAGCTTTTTTCTTAGTATTTGCAAAAACAAATAGGGCATTGCTCCACCTGTATGAGATACAGCAGCATCTCTGTTGCTGTTGTAGCTCAGAAGGGGTGAATATCATTTTCCTTAGGCTGGGAGGTGGCAGGCTGCAGAGAACACAAAGCCTGTTAGACCCAAAGTGAATTATTTGAAACAGTGATGAGGTGAACAAGGGGAAATGAAAACGAAAATGAGAACTCCCTAACTTTGAACTGTTTACTTCCTATTAAAACTGTGACCAGACAGCTTTTTCCTTTATACAGTGGAAAGCTTTATAAAGCTTTCTAGCCAGAACTTCATGGGACTTGAACTCCAAACATAGGGTTGGTTGTCTTTCTACTTAAGAGAAAGGTGATAAAAGCCTTCTGGACACAGTGACAGAAAGTCAAAACACAAGATGTCATTGGTGGAACTAGCTCTGCCTAGTCCAGCATAACAGCATTGCTGAGGCTCTGTAATTTGTCTTTGTGTGGCTCAAAACACAACTGCCCTTGACTTCCGTAATGGTCGGTTAACCCAGGTGGTAGTGGGGCTTCTGCTCAGCAGGGATGCTTCTGATGTTTCCATCTTCCTTCCCTCTAAGTGTTTTCACACAGCAGGGTGCATGTTAAAGGTGATATTTCTAATATGGTCTACTAATATATCTTAATGGTAATAAAAGGAGTCAAAGATTGCAGTTCTCTTTTCTATGTATCAGTTTGCTTGTGCACTGATCAATTAGCATCCTGCTTCTGAGTTCAAGAGGAGACTTGAGTTCTGTCTCCATGTCCCTAGATAGTCCAGCAGGATGTCCGTGATGATCTAGGCTTCATTATGTCAGATTGTATACAAACACAGAGTAAGCCATAAATCTGAAGGACTTAAATCCTTGCAACACCAAGAAAGTAAATAGTCTGCAGCTTTGCAAATGAAGGAGTCACTTTGTGACAGAGCTAGCCGTAGAAGGTAAAACTCGAGATCCAGAAGGGTCCAGGAACTTTGCTGCTGGTGGCCAAGACTAAATAAAGAATATTATTATTATTACAGAATATCTGAAACATTGAAGGATCAACATATTGACAGATAGACAAATACACACATATATACATTGGTGCTGGTTACTCTAATTTAGAGTGAATTCTTCCAGGAGCCAGTTGTGGAATAAAAGCAAAGGAGTGGCCAGCACAGACACACACTCAGTCTGAGAATATTTTGCTACTTTTGTTCCATCTGGTGCTAGGAAGGAGATGTGAAGAAACAGGATGCTCCTCCCAGCAGGCCTCTGTTTTTGAAAGGAATTGTAAAAGACCAAATTAAATAAAGAGGAATGAAGCACCAGCTTTTGCCTGCCATTAACCCCTTTAGGCTGCTTTGGTAGTGTTTCTGCCTGATACTGATTCATTCTCACATTGGGAACCACTCCACAGGAAGTATGAAGGAATCTCTGTAAGCCTGCGAGCAGAGCCATTTAATGGACTGGGAGCAGTTACACGCTCTGTGTTTCTATACTATAAATCCTTGAAACCTGTTCCACTGGTGACAGATGGCCTGGTGCAGGATTAATGAAACAAAATATCTGTGCCACTGCATCAAACAGCTGAAGAAACTGGCATCAGATCCCCAACCCGAGAAAAATGTCCGTACTTTCTCCTCCTGGAAGTTTTGCTGGGGTTGGGGAAGAGAGACTTGGCCATTTGTCTGGGGTTTCTGGGCAGCGAGCAGCCTTCCCAGAGCAATCCTTTGCAGCAGGCTGCCCTGTCCCTGGAAGTATGGACAAATGGCCATTGTATGTGGGCCTGGCTGTAGCTGCAAGGGGTGAGCATGCTTCAGGGCTCACATCCCAGGGCACCCAGGATGTGTTGTAACGGGAGCCGGGTGCCATCATCACAGTGTTGCCTGGTCAGTTTGTGTTGGATGTGCTCTATGGGGTGCACATGGGTCTGTTTCAGGCTTCCCCACATGGGAATTCTGTAGCTGGCTGTGACAGTGCCAGTCTGCCTCAGTGGGGCACTGGGTAGCTCCAGGGCAGAGCCACACAACTAATGGGCATAACAGTGGCACAAAACTGCCCACTACAGGGGTTCAGTTGGCTACGTACTCCATGTTGAAGCTGTCACAGAAACAGAAAATGAGCAAGGAGACACTGTATCTGCACAGTAAAAATACCCAGTAAATTAATAATTTTAATTATTGTTACACACAGAAGAAACGAGAAAAAAATACATTCCAAAGAAATAAAATAGTAAAATCAGCATAAAAATGTGTTACGAAAAGATCCCAGATTAAGTGGCCATACTGCATGTGGTGACCTTTACAATCACTGTAAAGGAAGTAAGTGCTAGAGACTTTCAGACGTGGCAAAATGCTTGACTCCCCAGGGGAGAGCAGCTGCTTCGCTCACATCTTTCAGTGCTCTCTGCCTGCCATGTGTGGGAGAGGCGCTGGAGTGAGAGGCTCGCATGGGTACAAGACACGGAGGTTAGTGTTCAGACCAGCCAGTCTGCAGTCTCAGCCAAACAGAACTAATGCTTTCCCAGTGGCATTTGCGTTTTCTTTCCTTGTTTGTTTTCTATGTTTTAGAGTTTTATTTAACAAAGCATCAGGTTCTGCTGGCCTGACCCTGCCAGCACCATAGACTTGGAGCAAGACCTGGTCCAGCAGGAGCATGCACAAACAAGGTCTAAATCCATGCGTTTGTACGGATTCAGCACCATCGCCCAATGGGCTGGCTTTGGTTTCTTGCTGTTTAGCTGTCAGGAAAAGGTTTCTTTTATTTCAAGATGCTCTCTCTGTCTTTTGGCTGATCTGAATTGGTCCAGTCATGCTCCCACTGCAATCTCAGTGGCTTGGCCCCTGCATCCCTCTTATATGAGACTGGCTTTGTGCTCTGGCCTCACTGTTGAGCCCTCACAACACTCCAGTAGCTCATCCTACAGCAGCAGCATAGTGTCACCACAGAAGTTTCGGCATCCCTGCCAACTGGCCATCATTCTTCATTCATAGTCTACCTAGAGTTTTATATTTTAATTCTTTACAATAAGAGCAAAAATAAAATAACATTAAGAAAATTTCCTCCAAACTAAGAAAACTAAAACCCATCAAACATTTTAAAGAAACCATAAAAATTTGCATTGTGTTTGCTTCTGAGTTCATATTAAGATAAGATTTTACTGCAGCTGCTTCAAAATTACAGTCCATTTCACAGGTACACAGTTCACGTTCCTTGGTAATGCCTGGCCTTCACTTGTGTACAGCAGCTACTGCTACCAGAACTAAGTAGTTTCTAGCTGTGGTCCAGATTTGAAGTCAGTGAACAATGGCATTTTCATACTGTTTGAGAACATGGTGGTGGCTTAGAGCTGTATTTCTAGATCAGCTTTTGTTCAGGGCCCTAGGACTAGTGGTACAAGCACTTGCTTCGCTACAGAACCTATTATTTCTTTGATTCAGGCGAAGAGGAAGTAATTCAAGAAGGATGTGCCGACCTTATTGATTTTATCAAGGCCTTCCCTCTCTGCTGATTTTAAAGCCAGTAAAACTTACAATCACATAAATTAAACATCCCTTTGCAAGTTGTCCCATGAAGCCAAGCTGACCTTCTGCGGAACGAAGGTTGCGCAGAATAACTTTGTTTTCTGTTCCAGTCCTTTCATCAGCCATCGCAGACTGTGACAACACTGTGTTTTGGCTGAATTAGATTTATTCTAGCTAACAGTCAGGGATAAGACCAGACTGCAAAATTTGGATGCAAGGTTCACATCTAAGGATTTGGCTGAGGCTTTTAGAAGAACTAAAAAACCGCTTGCAAAACTGAAATTAGAGTTTAGACTTTTAAGCTAAACCCTCCTCAGAGTTCAAGTGTAGCTGAGCCCATCCTGTTAGACAGTATGAATAAATATTTTGCATTTGTTTTCCACCTGATGCAAACTGGAAAGGCAGTCACACGTTCCATGCTTTAAGAGAAGTCCTGCAGATCCCTAAAAGCATATTTAACACTACGGTAGGATAATGATTGGGACTTATATAGCACTTTACATCTTCAAAGCGCTGTATGAGCGTTAATCCTCACAGCAACCTTGTGAGGTAGGTAAGTGCTGATAGCCCCATTTTAGAAATGGGGTGAGGGCCTGGTCCCCTGCTGTTGTAACTTGGCATAGCACTGGCTCTCATACACTTGTGCCTTTTTACACCAGGTGAGGACCTGGCCCCAGAAAATTTAAGTGACTTATCCAAGGCCACAAAAGGAGCAAGCATGGATAAAAGGCAGGAGAAGTGCCCAGGAGACCTTCTGTCATAAGAAGTCGGCAACTTGCCTTCTGCTTCCAAGAATGCAGTCATGCTGCCTCTGCTTAAAGAAGCCCGTCTGTATTCAGAAACCAAGCAAAGAGAAAGAGGCACCTGCCACTGAGCTTTACAGCTGCTGTTTGCTTTGATTTGCTTCTTCCAGAACAGCTCCCAAAATGACCATGATCGCAAGCTGAAAACAGAGGCGTTAGTGCCAAACTACAGGACAGGAAAACTGTGGAGAGCCACTACAAAATTCTGTGAATTTCTTGGAGCTTTATGTACTTGTGTAAAAATGTAGCAATTACTTTGACTGATTACAACGTGAAACCTTCAGCAATTTATGTAAAAGTCAAGTTTGAGAAATTCCTAAACCAATCAGTCTTACAGTTCCCTCAGTGTGGAGGAGTAGGAAGCCAGGTATTATGCACAAATACAATTTTCTTGGTAGAGTAGGAGTAAGGCTGTTAAAAACACTCTGGCTTTGTTCTTCTCAACCCACCACTTCTACATAGATGTCAGCAGGGTGAAGCCAATGTGACTGGCACAGCCCAGTGCCATTTAAAAAACAGTTGCAATTAGCATTGCTTGTTTGACTTCATTGGGAGTTCGGTGTGAGGAGGATCTATCTACAGAAAGAGATACATGGCCAAAACAAATGTGCTACATCTTTTATATGTCCAGATACAGAGTCAAAGGATCTCCAAGAGGGTGATAACTACAGAAAGGAAAGAGACCACAAATAATCAAGACCATGTGTGTAACCTCAAGTGACCACAGATGGGAATTGCAAAGGGGTGTTGGAATACAGCAGTGTGAAAAGAAAGCCTCCGTACTTAGGAAGCAAAGGAGCTGACACTGCTGGGACCAGGGACACCACACCACTGGGGTGCTTCATTCCCTCTGTAATGTCCCTGAGCCAAAGACTGGGTGCTTCTCAAAGACTGTACCCCTGAAAAGGAGAAGAATGGATCAAATCTTACAGTTTTACAGTGCAACGAGACAACAGGAAGGTCCACAAAGGCAATGCCACAGACAGTCATGTCATTCCT